AAAAAAAAAAAAAAAAAACTCCAGCTGGTTATGGACCTCTGATCAATTAGATATAAACCAGAGGTTCCCATGACCCTCCTCTTTGGGGTTGATTAATCTGCTATAGCTTCAGGAAATTAGCCTATTTTCATGAAGGAGGCAAGGAGACGATTTTTTAAAGGGTTCGTCCAAGAGGCAAGGAGGAGAAAAGAAGTATCATAGCTTTTCTGGGTTAAGCTATGCCAGGACATGAACAGACAAGTTGCACACTAACAGTATGTATGTGGGCTATTGGCCTTCTCCCTCCAGGAAATATTGAGATAATTATCAGTCCAGATCTAAAGATTTAGTTCTAGCATAGTGCTATAGTTATTATGATGATCCAGATTGTCTGGACAGGATGTTGGGAAAGAGCTTGCTAGTCCATGATTTACTCTACCTGTTCAACTCAAATGGGATTTGGGGCAACCTATATCCTACCAACTCGTGGCATCTTTTATCTAGAATATATCTAAGCTCTAGCTCCTCTACCCAGTCCCCCAAATTAAGGGACAGGTCTAAATGTTCTGTTTCCTATCGGTTCCCATGATAATCAGCACCACCTATATAGGAGTTTTCAAGAAGTCACTTTCATTAATATTAACCCAGGTATGCTGCAAAGGGGCTTGTTATGATAAAAAGACATCGATTTCTCTTTTATGGCTTTGAAGTATTTTCAGGAACTGAGGGCAAAATATATATATAAAGAGAGAAAGAGAATATTAGTTAACAACCATATAGAAGTATATATATAGGTTATTCAGGTGTACAACTTCACACCTCAACCACTATATATGTTATATCATGCCCACTAACAAGTCTAGTTAACCTACACCATCATCCAGTCTACCCCCCTAGCCTCTTCCTCTCTGGTAACCACCATTCTGTTGAAGACAATAAATATTATGACAAATGATGCCTTCATTCATCAGGACATTTCAAGAATTTAGGGAGCTCTAAGCTAGGAAACTACATATGAAGACCACATATATTTGAGAAAAAGATTTGATGTATATGAGAAATATATCAACTGAAAGACCACATATATAAGTCTTATAAATCATAATCTCACATTGACATTAGACTTTCAATATTTTTCTTTCATATAAGAAAATCTTCCCATCATATTTTACCCAAAACAACTGGTTATATACCTCCCTTGCAGCAAATACAGTGATAAAAGTGATAGTCAATGTGAATAGCTTGGAATACTGCAAAGGACAAGCTAATTGAATGCCTTGCAAGTGTTATTCCCTGGTCAAATAGTAAACTTTGGTAAATGTTATTTGTGAACTTGATTGCAGTTCTGTGAGGCTTAGACATTCACACATCTCACCTACTTTGGCAAGTCCATTATTATAATTATTATTATAGTTATTATGATGATCCAGATTGTCTGGACAGGATGTTGGGATAGAGCTTGCTGGCCCATGACATGGCAACACAGATAAAACATTATACTTTTAAAAGTACTTTTTTTTTTTTTCATAATGAGCTTAGTTATCATAGTGCTCAGTGCTCATTCCTGTTACCTATACATCTTCTTAAAAGAAACTGGAATCAAAAACGGGGGGGGGAGGGGGGACGGGAGGGAAGGAAGTGCACAGGATTTTGGAGATGGCACACGGGTGACATGTTGATGGGAAACCCACAGGTATTACAATTGAGATGGGAAAAAAATGTACAAAATGATGTAAAAATAAACTGTTATAAAATTAAAAAAAGAAACTGGTGTCAGTAATGCCTTTTTTGCTTTTCATTGAATGTGCATTACTGAAAATGTAGTTTTATATTTATCTTTTAAATTTACAACACTAAAGATATTTTGAGTATTAGTCATGATCCAGTTCTGTATAAAAGAATTCTTAAATAGAACATTGTTTATGAGATCAAACTTCCCTCACTCACAAAAATGGTCACATCAAAAAATTAATAAATAAAAAGTTTGACACATTTGAGAGAGAGAGAAAGGTAGTTTTTGTATTCATGAACCTATCAATTTAAAAATAAATAGTAAGATAGTTGAAACTAAGATAATGTAGTTATTTGAAGGAAATAATAGTACAGATGAAAGCCAAAAGTACAGTGATTTATCTCTGTCAGGTCGATATAAACAGTCAGAGGCTCAGATAATGACTCTATAAGCACCAGGGAGCTGAGACAGGTAGCTACACCAACTGTCACCTGTGATGTCCACCCTAGCTTATAAGTTGGCTGCTTCATCTTGACTTATGACTTCCACATTCAAGCCATGGAGACCAGAGGAAGAAAGAAGACATACTTTTCTCTTTAAAAAATTTCCCAGAAGATCAACACATTCTCCTCCTTATATCCCATGAGCCAAAATTTAGTCTAATGCCACACTTAGAGAGGCTGGGAAGGTCTTTTTTTTTTTTTTATAACTGTTTTACACATGCCTGACTAATATCTAGAGCTTTATGACTAAGCAAAATGAAAAGAACAAGGACTGAGGGCAATTAGTAGTACCTGCCATGATTCTATATCTCTAGTTACCCAAATACCTGGGTACTTCTTCCTACAAATAAAAATACCCTCACATCCTATAGGGGAACATATAAAATCCAATGGAGTTACCCCATCCTACTGAAAGTCCAGAATCATCCTCAGAATCAAAGTTCTCATGTCAATATACTTCTACCCAAGCAACAGAAACAAGAGTATCATATTTTTTTTAAATCTCCAA